ATAGTATATTGGGCCCCAGAACTCTATTCTAACGATTACGGCCCCTATATTAGCAACTTAAACCCCACGCCCGCAAGCTGAAAACTGAGGAACGCTTGTAGGATAGGAACCCCCAAAGCAACTTGGCTATGGGAACTTTCTAGGAGCATTGCAAGGCCTACCGGGTCAAAAGCGGCTTTTTGGCGGATCCTGCTGTGAGCAAGCAACCCGGCAGCAAATTATCGGCTGTATAGGGTTTAGGGTTTAGGGTTTAGGTTTAGGGTTTAGGGGAAGGTTTAGGATTGAGGACTTCAGGGTTCACGGTTGTGTTTAGGGTGCAGGTAAGATGTTAATAGGGACGTGAACAATTGAGTAGTGCTATTGTTCCTGAGGGCTCCCGATTCTAATGAGACTGGTCCTGTCTAATGATTTCGGCTTCTCTAGTGTATGTTCACGAGACCAGGGAGCAAAACAAAGCCAGCAATCTTACAGCAACTCTCCGTGAAGTGAAAATTTCGAAACAAAGGACAACCCAATGTTGCCTGGACTGATTCGCTGCGGTAACCTAACAGGAATCCGGTCATTTTTCTCATGCTATGTGAGGACATGGCTCTCAACAGAAGAAGCGAGCCTGATATAAGGGCCTGAAGGATTCGTAGACCATCATAGAAATATGCCAAAATATAGTCAATATATAAGTATATATGCATACCCTAAACCCTAAACCCTAAACCCTAAACCGATTCATATTGCAGTAAAAAGGCACCCCCAAACCGTAGCCCCTACCTGAATGCCTACTTGGAGCTTATCGCCTTTCCGGGCTCCTCGGCCCAGCATCCGACAGCCACTCACAGGATAAGTGGGAGTTTCCGAACATAAGGGGACCCTAATGGGGTCCTTAAAATAAGGGTCCTACTATTTGGGGTACTATATTAGGGTCCCCTATTTTCGGAAACCCCCAATCGCGAGGACTACACTGCCAGTAGAGCTTGAGCAGCACCCTCAATCCCAAACCCGAACATCTGCGCATGATGGCTTTCAAAGTGAATGCCGAAACCCAAACATCAAAGTTTTCAAGGCGCATCGAAAGCAATACAGGGGGAGTAGGGAGCCCCCCCGAGTTTTGAACCTGGCCTTAGCCATGCGAAACCTCCCGAAACGCTAAACCCGAAGCGCTTAACAGCGCGCATCCAGCACAGGCTGCGGACGCAGCTGCTGGACCGCACTGAAACTGCCCGGCCAGTTTCGGATTTCGTTAAGGTCACATAGGAGCTGGAAATAGTTACAGACACTATTTCTTGCGGTTGCTTTATCGAGCTGTACTCCAAAGCCTTACTCTAACGATTGAGGACCCCCAACTACCGTGTTTTATTGAATGGCTAGAAATCGCCACTACCAAGGCACCTTAATGGCCCGATTCAAGGTTTGTTCCCTGGTCCTCGCAGGGTTTAGGGGTGCAGGGTCACGCACTTAAGATTTCCGTGCTTCCTTATAGCTTTCTAGCTTGGGCTTTGGAGGCTCTAGCATTAGGGAATGCTTGAGGATCTAAGCCAGTCCCTTCATAGCACCGGAAGTGCGGCTCCCGGGGAAGGGCACAGCAAGTGCAATCTGAGGGCGCATGGCTAAACCTTAGCACCTTAGGCTTATAACGCACGGTAGCACCAGAGATTTCGCCAGGGCTTCATCGTGTGTACGGTGAGGAACTTTACCTGCAACCCGACATCCTGGAATGATGCCCCTCAATACGCCAAGGCCCCATGCGCCCTCGCAGCCTTCCAAGCACTCTGGCAAAACAGGGTGGGTTTAGATTGAGTGTCAAGGGCGCTTAGAAGGGCATTGGAGGGTTTGAGGGCTCAGCGGGCTTTGGGATTTCCGGTCATGCTGGGACATCGATAGAATGGATAGGGTTCCTTCAGAAAGGTGTTCGGTGGAGCCAGAGGGTAGCTGCCCCAAGCTTTACAAATGCTCTGTTTTCAACCGCGACTTGCTTTCAACTCTTTGTTCTTTTCTGAAGCTCAGCGGTGCATCAGGCCCTAAACCCGAAACCCTAAACCCTTAAACCCTTAAACCCATAAACCCTAAACCCATAAACCCTAAACCCCTAGCCTTGCCAGCCATGTGCGAGTGTGAGAGTCGAAACCCAGGCGGCGGGAGCATTCAACGTCCACTGCTTTGCCATCTCGGGGTGGCGAAGGCCGAGCCACGCTCGGATAGGAAGATCTTGGGGTAGATTTCTCTCGATTTTTTGCGACACTCTTGGTTGGCCCTTTTGGAGGAGGTTTTTGAGATGGATTGCCAGTATAGCTTTAGGAAGACTCTTATGAATTGGTGGGTATGGGTTCTACTTAAACCACTCTTTTTCTCGCTGTTTCCTTGCTAAAACATAAACACTTTCAGATAGCAGATGAGAGCCACTGCTATGACAGGGTTCGCAGCTCTTCTAAAGCTCAGCACGTTTAGTATGTTAGCGTGGGCGGGTGTTCACAACGGGCTCTCAAGAACAGAGATTTATGTTAAGGTTGAGGGGTAAAGAGTTGGAGGGTTTTGGGTTGGCTCAGTACAAGCTAAACTGCAGCGGTTTGAGTTCCGTTTCCAAAGCCCTAAACTCCTAAGCCCTCTGAACTCTGATTGGAAGCTGACGCGCTTGACGCTTTGACCTGTCCCGAGATGTGGGTCTTGGGGGTAATGCAGCTTAGGTTCGCAGTGGGTGACCTTCTGACTTGAACCTTTCCTGTGGATCAAAGGCCCGCTCAACAATAGATCCCGTGAACCCTCCAGCACAAATCCTGAAGCGTCTAGCATGCTAGGCCTACAAAACCGAAACCCTCCTTGATGATCCGCGCTGAGTAAGTATGGAGCTCGTGAAGGGAAAAAATCCCTCCGGGCATATGCTGGACCTCAGCACATGCTTAGATGAAAGAAGCGGCTCTCGTCCTTCTTGAGACTGCGTATACAAGCAACGACGGGTTGAAACCGTAGCCCTCCAAGCAACCCTGAAACTAACCCCACATCCCCAAGCCTACTAAACCCTAAACTGGCCGACAAGGCCTTCAAGACGACTCCTTGCTGACGCTTTCCTCAGAGTCAGTGGAGCGGCACCATGGGCGCGACAAAGGTTTGGGATTGACATAGGAAGTTAACGGAGCAGCCCGTGCTAGTCTTCAGGGACGATCGAGGCACTCCAAAGGACAAGAAGCCCCGCCTAAAGCACTTTGGCCGATCTTCACCCTCGCCCAACAAGCCAGCTCTCATGAAAGCCTTCTCCCTGAACCCGAAACCCTGAACTCTACATGCACCATTCCTTGCTTTCCCTATTCAAGCGGTGCCTTGAATAAGGAAAATTCCTAATTTCAAGGCACCGGTTCTTGAGCCGAAACGCCATCTCTGCCGCCGTGGCCGAGCACGGCGAGGACCAAGAGAAGCCGAGTCCAGGCAGCACAGGAGCTTTCGAGTGTGTCTTTCGGGGGGCTTTGATGACTAGAACAGAGTTCCATCTAGGGTTGTACAAAGAGGCCCTGATCACTACGATGGTTTAAGGCTGACTATCAGGGTTTAGGGTGTTTAGAGGCGTTCTGGCGTATATGGGGGCCTTCCTTGTTCATGACTTTGGGGTTTAGGGTTCTACTACAGGGGCCTGAATACTAGTTACTGTTACTAGTTTATAACTCTAGGGTTCAGAGTAAGGGCTTCTACTTTAGGGCCTTGAAAAGATGCAAGGATAAGGTTCTTATAGTGAGGGTTTCACAAGGGGTTCAAAGGGTTTTGATACCGGGGCATTGACAATTAAGAACTGACTTCTTTAGGGTGTTTATAAACGGCTTGCTATTAGTGAGATTCTGAGGGTTCTGGAGCATAGGGGCGTCAATAATTGGAACAAGGATCTGGTGAGGGAAAGCTGCTAGTGTAGAGGGATTGTACGAGGATACGATGCAATCAGTGAGGCTTCCAATATAGGGGCGTAGATAATTACCAATACTATTCTGGGGGGTTCCTTGTTATACCCCCAAACCCTTCTTCTAACTATTGAGGCCCCGACATTTTATTGCGGCTTCGTCCGGTTTTGGGGCCTTGGGAGGTCCGGATCTTGGGGTTGGGGGGTCCCTGGGGGAAAACTGGTGGTTTAAGGCCTACGGTTTAGGGCCGAGTTCCAGTGATTAGGGCCTGGAATAGCCCTAAACCTAAAACCCTTAACCCCTAAACCCTAGTGAGCTGACGTCGCATCCTGAGCCCACAAACCTCTGCGAAGAGAGGATCCTAACCAAAACACCCGTAACCTAAGCCCCAAAACAGCCAATGATAGACAAGAGCCGCATCCCTAAAGGCTTCCAAACCCGCAACCCTGAAGAACAAGAAGAGCAACCTGATTACCCTAAACCCTAAACCCCTAAACCCTAAACCCCTAAACCCTATACCCCTAAACCCAAAAAGCCCTCAGAGTGCCTAAACAGAAGTCGACAGAACCGGAGCCCTCCCTGGGATGCAGCGGGGTAGGGATTAGAGGATCTTGGATTAACGTTTCGGGCTTTTAGGGTTTAGAAAGGGCCTTAGGCGGGTCGATAAAGATTAGGGTGGGAAATGTAAAGAGTTTTAGATTTAGGGTCTAAGGTGAAGAGCGATGGAAGTTCTGGCGGGGGTAGAAAGGGTCCAAGGTTAGGCCTCCAGGCATACCGCCCTTGCAGTGATATCCAAGAATTGTGTTGCGATCTCGTGACACTGGCTATAGATTAAAAACTCTAGCCGGCCCTATCCCTACAACCCTGCTCAGTGAGTTCTATGCCCCCTGTAGCCCTAACCCCCTCAAAATTTGAATAATTGGAGGTCTGTTAGTAGTTTTAAGTATCCCTGTATAGTCCGCATAGATTTATAGTGCAACACACCGCAGAATCCGATTTTGACTCCTACCATCCCCATTCTGAATCCGAGAGAGATTCGCTTCTCACACACCGAGGCGATGGAAGTTGCCGAAGGGCCCGTTGCCGAAGCTCGTGGACGTGCGAAAGAACGGCCCAGGCTTGCACAGCTTGGGCTTTGTCTGGATTTTCGCGAAGCTTTGGGTGCCCTGGAAGGGTGAGAGGGAGATTTCCTGGAAGCGTCACAGTCGCAACGCGATGCAGGCGACGTGGAGGCTGCCAAGCGCGCAGAGAAGGGTCACAAGGCACCCGGTTTAGGGCTTTGGGGATGAAGGGTCTTGGTTTAGGGTTTAGGGTTTAGGGTTTAGGGTGTTCTAGTGGCTCCTTGGGTCTCCAACGAAGGTATTTGTTCATACCCATGCACCAGAGAAAGGAACTTGGAACAAGCAATGAAGCTTGTGACCGCGTATGCTAGTCCAGAAGTCTGAACATTCACTTGTACTATTCCGCGGGCTTCCTTGTTTTACTTTACTACCACAGGCCCCAACACGCAATTCTATTTATCAAGCCGCCTGTACCTTCCGATTGGCAGAAGAGGTTTAGCAGTTTCGGTGGAGACTCTCAGTTGGCCTGGGTCCCCTCCTCGTTCTTGTGGGCTTGCCTCTTCTAGGATGTACTGGTATGGTCAAACGTAGGCTGTGCATTGCTCTAAGCTCAGAGAGATTGCTATTGAGAACGTGTCACCTGGAGCCATCCCAATCGACGAGCTCTTGAACCTTGATCCCTCCAAACAAAACCCCTCAATCTCCACGGCCCTCTTCCCTCCCAACGTGGGCCGCCCTAGCACACGAGGAGACCTTACAATGAACTTGAACACAATGAACCCCCCCTAGACCCTCTTCCCACCGCCCCAGGCCAGCGTTTCGGCCGCTATGGTACAGGCTGCACGCATGCAGCCAAAGCGCTTCAGGCCAGCTCGAAGAGTTCAGGGTCGAAGTTGAGTCCGAAGATCAGATACCGTCCATCCGGAGACTCCAAGATCCCAAAATCGAAGGTCCCTTGTTGAACTACTCCTCTCTAGACTATTCGATTGAGGGTCTCTGATTAAAGATATCGAAAGCTCTAGCCACCAGTTCGGCCTGCTTGTCAGTACGGACTTCGATGGGATCTTCGAGACTTCAACTGCCTTTTCTCCTTATGAGGTCTTTGGTTTGAAACGCTTAAGGAACTTAAGGGTTCCATAATATGATTATAGTATAATGGGCCCCAAAACCGAATTCTAATTATTAAGGCCCCTGTATTACTTTAAAGTTCAAGGGGATAAAAGCACGGAAATAATCCGAAAGACAGCCCGGGCTCTACTTACTATGTCCCTTGACCCTTGGAGCACCATGAGGACGCCATCGAAGACGGCAGCAGAGAAGCCTCTGTGCCCTGGATGGAACGCTTGTGACAGAACCTGGGCCATGCTCCTAGATCTATGCAAGCCTCGTAGCATGCAGGCCACGACACATAGTTCTTGACCCAGTAGTCACTCTTGGAAATCTGCCTCGTGATTTAGAGCATTTTCTTGCTGTTGCATCATCGCACTAGACCCTTTAAGCCGGACACCCGAAGCCCCAAACCCAACCCATGCAAACCCTCCACCCCGAAACCTTAACCCGGACTGTATAAGTATGTCGAACAGAAGCCCAAACACACACACACACACACACCCACCACACACACACACACGGTACATACTGCTCGGGGCATGTGTAGACTTCACGAGTGGAAGTGTTCTGGGTGATTAATATTTAGCGGCCTTACTAATTTGAACAGGGCGTCGGGGTATACTTTAGTGAAAATATAGTAAGCCCCAAGGAATAACATTGGTAATCGAAGAAGTGGGTCCGCATCGTTTCACAGCGCTTCCAAGTGCAGCACCAGCCTTTCATGTTCGATGAGGGCTTGGCAAGTTGCCTGTTGTGTGTCATGACGACAAAAAATCAGGTTGAAATCAAGTTCCAAGCCTTGCTACCTATCCACCAAGGCCACCATGAGAGCTCTATCCCTGCCCCTTGTGAACCCTTAAATTTAAAAGGCGAAGCCGCGAATCCTTGAGCTCAGGGCTTTCAGGGCTGTTGGAGCTTTAGCGGTTCCGGGCTTCTCACGTTTTTTTCGAGGCTGCCAACGCCCAAGGCCCAAAGCCCCTGCTTTGAGGTCCCAAGCCGAGTCCCGGGCTTCGCTGACAGAGGCAAAGGTTGTGCACTTCAACCAGGCCGGCAGACAGGAGTAGATTACCGTATATCATAGTAGAATTACAGAGTACTATAGTGCAATATTATAGTACAATTTACAAAATAGTATAAATATACTAGAATATATAAGGGAGTAGAAGCGGGCTGAAGGCTGGATCATTTGAGGGATGCAGGGTTCGAGGCGGTGAGAAACCGTGCCGACAGGATGGAGGGGCTTGTTCTTGGGAGATGGATCTGAGCTGAAGCTGGCTCTTCTCGTTTTTTTGGCGGCTGTGTAGTCTGAGGACTGGGTTTAGAGCAGTGGCGCGGTTGAATTTCGAGTTGCTGGCCCTGCGTGCAGTATTCGGGTTGTGTGGGAGTCTCAGACCAGAACGAACCCTTAATAAGTATTTTCTGCATTTGGAGACTTCCCGATCAGGGACCCTGGTTTTGTGAACCCCCCCCCTCCCCCGCACATCAGTTCATGTCACTTCGTGAGGTTACACTATGGCTGCCGAAGAACAGCCGAAAGCACGGGAAAGGTTAGGTTTCAGGACCTCTCCATCCTACAAGACTTTGAAACCCCCCTGAACCTTGGATCCCGAACCCTGAACCATACTCTGAACCACCGTTAATCATAATAATGATAATAATAATAATACTGGTAATAAGAATAAGGATAATAATAATAGTAATAGTGAAGCTCAAGGACCCAGTAGAGCAGAGCCAAGACTACGAGATACTCAGCCGCTCGGGTACACGTTGGCATGGGGCTTAGGACGGTTTAGAGTTTAGGGGTTCAGCTGATTGGCAGAGCATGGGTGCAAAAAGGCTTTCGAGGTTAAGGGGTTTGGGTTTAAGGTTTCGTTTAGGGTATGTTGGCGTCGGGCTCCCGCTTGAGGCTACAGCTTTGCAGAGGGTCTTCTGCAAGGGCTTTGTTGCGGTGTCCTGGTACACATGTATATGCAGTTCTTCGACATAAAATTTAAGCTTTCTGTGGTCTTTTGATATCGCATTACTCTGAGAGTTGTGATTTTGTCGTTTCCTCGGAGTATTGAACAAGAAAGCAGAGTTCAAGACCTAAATCCCTATACCCACAAGATTTGTAACCTCCAGAGGATAGAAGGGCCCAAACGGCCCAATTCCCTTGAATTTAGGGTTTAGGGTTTAGGGTTTAGGGCAGCTTCTCTTGTGTGGAGACTGCTTAGTAGCATGACTTGGGGCAAAATCCTTCATTGAGGGGTCTCGGGCTCTGGAGGCGAGTATGTTAGTCAGGACGCCTGCTCAATCTCTTTTTTCAGGCTTCATTTCGGGCGTAAAGCTTCGAGGTTTCAGTTGTAGCTGTCGTTCCAAGCATTACCTTGGTTAGGTCAACTGCTTGTTCGCATCTGTTTCGGGTTTTACGGTTTGGGCTTTCGGGCGCGTTGTGTTCTTATCTCAAAGTCTTGCAGGCGTTGAGAGCCCAGTCAGTGCATATTCCATGCGAAGTTTTTCGCTTTCAGGTTGGAGTTCAATGTTCAGTACATGACAGTATTTCATGTCATGTCAAAGTCCAGTATGAAGCTTATAACCCATGTCACAAAGCCCTGACCCTGAAAACCTTTTCCTTTGAGACTTGGACTAGTGGCGCGGCGGTACAAGTTGTGCTGTTTGCTGTCTGATGAGCTTGACTGCTTTTAGTGGTTTAGCTTTGTTTGGGTGTAGGCCTCGTTGCATCAATGCTGATGCGAACGGCGATATAGTGCGCCTTGAAGAAAGACTAAGACTTAGACCCAAACACACCAAAGCCCAAAGCCCAGAATGGATACGTAAAGCCCTAAAGCCCCCAAACCCTAATGAAGCCCTAAATCTGAATGGACACCCAAAGCCCAGGTGGCGAGCGCTCCTCGGAATCGCCTGCACGATCCTCTCGCTCCGGGCGATCCTCACGAGGTGGGAAGTCAGCACTTGGCTCCATGAGGGGTACTACAAGGACTCTACTACGAAGATTACGTGATAAGCATTCTACATAGCAAGGGGATGAATGCCACGCTCTAAGTTCCAGGATGCTCGTGACAAGAACCCATAGTACAGTACACTTATTGGACCTAGCCGAGAACACCCACAGACTCCGGAATCCTTAAACCCATCGAATGTCTGTAGAGTAGGGATCCTTACTTACGAAAACTCAACTACGATTAATAAAGTCTCTCTGCTTCAATGCTAGCCACTGGTGTAGCACGCAAAAATACAAAACGCTGACGATCCCGCCCAAAATCTACGAGGAGTGCCATCAGCACAGGTAGACTCGCCCCTTCTCTACACACCGTGAGCTTTTTATCCTAGGTCAGTATTTCTGAGCCGCGGAGCTTTGTTTCTCAATGCTGCAATATCCCCGAAACCCTGTTCTCGAGACCAAGGCCACTATCACTACAGAACCCTTATACCCTAACAATCTCTGAGAATCACGTCTGAAAATCACGACAAATCTTGGAACCCCAAACCCCAAGCTTCTGAAGCCCCAAGAACCCGAAAGAACGCCAAACCTGCCGGAGGAGGAGCTCGTTCCATGAGCCGCCCCTCTTCAGCAGGACCGAACCTCGTGTGTTTGTTTGTGAGGAAATCCTTCTATAAATCAACACAGTTTAAACTTACTATCAAGACAGTATGGTTTAACTTTTAATGATAATAGAACATGACATACCAGAACCCAATATAACTTTTTTAAAGGTACATACATATTGCCGTGTACGTACATGTGTAAATAGATACATGTGCATCTACATATCTATATATTCTGCATATACACGTGTATATGCCTGCGTGCATGTACCCACGCACATATACATGCAATCATACGGACAGACTGATACCTAGGCGGGCAGGCAGCCAGACAGACATGCACAGTGTATGTATGTATGTATGTATGGATGGGTGGATAGGACGGATGGGTGGATGGATGCACGGATGTATGATATGCATGTATACATACCTAGATTTTTTGATACGTTTACATTTACAGCCAAATGTAAAAATGTGTATACATATATGGATATGTATGTATGAACGAGAACCAGGTTTACTGCTGCTTCTGCCGTTGTAATTACGGACGTGATAACCTAGTTTTCTATGATTACCACTTGCTACACCCGGCGGTCTTGCTGTGGCTGGTGGATGTGGCCCCGCACAGGCAGACAGAGTCTTGAGGCATGAACCTGAGAATAACTCTCTCCCTTGCAACAGACGGGAAGAGGTTAGGCAACAGCAACTCCCAAGCCCTCATCCAAGCTGAAGCTCTACACCTGTAGGAAACCCTGCTGGAAGGATGGACGAATTTGGTAAGTATAAGTATAAGGGTCTTCGTAAGGCTACTCGCAACCTTTTTGGCAGACCATCTGATCTTCCAAGTAACCCAAATCCAAAGACGAAGCACAAGTCTAGAAGACGGACAAAGAAACGTCCCGTTTTATCAGGGCCTGGGGCTTGGAGTTTTAGGTTAGGGCTTAGGGTTCAGCTCAGAAGCTTTTTCACAGCGCAACTACCGTAAGCACTATTATGGGGGGCGCGAATAGTTGCCAAAAATTACTATTCTTTCAGTTTCCTTGGTGTAAGTGTACCAAGGAAACCCCAAACCCTGTTCCAACGAGTAAGGCTCCAAGATCGAACTCCTAAGCCTGGACACTGTGGAGCCTAATTACCTACACTATTTTGATGGCTCCTTATTACAACTATAGTATAATGGGCCCCAAAAGGCCTATTCTAATTATTAAGGCCCCTATATCAAAGCACCGGCAGCAGGATGGAGCTTGGCTGAGAGTGAAACAGGCACTTCCCGCTGAGGTAATCTAGACGCCTAAATGATTATCACTACTCTTTTGGGGGTTCCTTATTATGATTATAGTATAGTATGCCCCAAAACCCTATTCTAATCATCAAGGCCCTTACAGTATGGGAGGATAGCGGCCAAGGTGTGAAGGGCACGGAAAGGGTGATTCTCGGGGTCTCAGTATTCTCTACTACAAGGGTCTCGGGACTTGAAGGGATGCTTGGGCTTTCGAGATACACTCCGCCGCGCTAACATGGAACCGCTAAAGCAACCTCTGAAAAAGGCCTTGTCGGGGTCTACATCAGTCGCGTTTCAGTCCCATTTTGCTTTACGGACTCGTGCAGAGCTTTGGATTCTGCAAGGGCATTCGGACATGCACGCTAGCTGCTGGCGGCCGTGGATCTCTGTCTGGCTGGTTTGCACGGTCTGCATGTATGCATGCATGTATGTACGTATATACACATCTATACGTGTGTGTATACATATGTATATATATATATACATACATATACATATACATATACATATACATATACACACACACACCACTACACTGTACTTCGTGGAGCTGTGGCAACGGCGGCCATCAGCAATGCCAAGCAGTAGAACAACATGCAGAACAGAAACCCTCTGGCCACTGTGGCCTTCGGCATAGGGTGGCGAGGTTCATGTTCGAGAATGATGAAACATGAATGCGGTTTAGATTTAGAGTTTAAACTCTCGTTTAGGGTCCGGTGACCAGTTGATGTGCTGGTCAGCGGCCCACCCCTCCATTAAACCCTAACGCAGGCGGAAAATTGGCATTAAGAACACTAAAGTCCTGATCAAAGCCAAGCCGACACCCCTAGACTTCGAAAGCGTTTCACGGAAATTGGGCCCAATACACCGAGAAGAACAGCACGAAGGCTTGGATTTACGGGTGTTTAGGTATCTTGTTGAAGGCAAGCCATGTTTTCCCAAGGAGGAGGAGTCCTTCAGGTTTTTATCCTGTATTCTCTTTTATTCTATCTAGGTTTCTGGCTGGGGGCTGCAGGGAGATAGCCTGTTGATTGGGTATTTACCCGACGGCAAGAAGTAAGATCCAGAAGCCTCCTGCAACAGGCCCAGTGCTGTCGACGTTTCCGAAAGAGTGCAAGCCACCATCGTGCCCGTGGCAGCACTTTTCGTGTCTATGTGGTCTGCATCAGCTGAGTACATCTACGGACATGCATCAAAACCCTGAGCTTCAGAGCAGAAAAAACCCGAAGCCAACCGAAATCGAATGCCATTCCCCCTGCAGTCAGTGCGAAATAGAGTAGACTCGTTAGAAGCACCCCTCAATACGGGCGCCCTGACTTAAGAGACCAGGAAAACCCTGCAAGAAATCAGAGAGTCATGCAGTCCCCGTAAAACCTTCTTACGGGAAGCTCTCCAGATTAACGATGTAGCGCATCTAGGTTTGAACTATGTGGAATATCTCAACAGACCTCAGTGCCTTTGCTTGAAGTCTGGCAAGAATCTGCCGAAGACCCCAACCTCGGCTTCTCACAGATATACCCAAACATGGTTCAGTAGATAGACAAATCGACAGCCCGACAGGGAGAGGTGGGTGGGTGGGTAGATAGGAGGTAGGTAGGTAGATATTGAGATATTTAGACAGTTTATACGGACCATCGTACTTGTTTCGTGTGGCCAGCCCAAATGATGACTCTGGATTTCCAGTGCGCTCTTTGGCAACCATTTCTCGCCAGAAGCTGGAAACTCCACCGGTAAAGGGGTCCCTTCTTATTCCGTGATAATTGGAGGGCCCTAAACCCTAAACCCTAAACCCCTAAACCCTAAACCCTAAACCCTTACAACCCAATAAAAACTTTTGGGAAAAATTGCAACCCGTAAGTCGCCCCAGGCTCTCAGCCAGATCGAAGCGTGTGTTTAGCGACCTGGCTCTTCCTGTAGGGTTTAGGGTTTAGGGTTTAGGGGTATGCCCGAGGCTTCAGATTTTGGTTTTCAGATTTTTTGGTTTCGGGGTGTTGGCACTAGGTTTGGGTACTGCTAGGTTGCGGGGGGCTTCTAGGTTAAGACTAGGGCTTTAGGGCCTCAGGGCCCAGGGGGTCTAGGCTGATCTTTCAGGCATTCTGGGCTTAGGAGGTGCGGAAAGCCTGGATTCAGGGTGTCGGGACTCAAGTTGAAGTTTGGGTTGCAGGTTTGAGGACTGCTTCAGGAACGACAGGTATCTGCAGTTTTTGTCATGAAGGAAGACCCTGCACCCAGAAAGCCTACTTCATGGACTAGTCCTGAGATAGTGTTCTGCTTCTCGTCATGACTTAAAACGATCTTCTTGGGTCCTCTTCAGACACACAAAGCTTTTGAAAGCCCCACCCTTCGACAAAGCCCCTAAACCCTAAACCCTAAGCCGTAACCACTTCCCTTATGGTAGCGATTGGCACTGCGAGGTTCGCATGGCTGAGCTCTGCTTGACGCTGTGGTGAAGCCGCGGTTCTTGGATCAGCCTTCGGGGAGAGCGCATGCATTTTACCTATGTATACACTACAAGTTATATGTTTCATCTTACATATGGTACATCATTTGGTCATATGTCACAAGTTTCACGTCAAAAGCAGCAGCTGCTCCAGCAGGTACACTGGGTCTAGACGTACCTATCTCTTTATTTGCCCAGCCGCTCAGCCACATTTTCACCCATGATCCTGCCCACAAGCGTTGAGCACCCTCAACTTTAAGCTCCGATACAGATCGCTTCATGAGTGCTAAGAGTCAGAGCGTTTGCTGTAAGAATCTCGTTGAAACGACACCTTGTTGATGTTGCTCTGATCAGTGTTACTGAGGCTGTCTCCTATATGCGGTAGGTTTATGCATGTTTATGTTGTTTCTGTCGTCAGGTAGAAATAGTTCTGAGAGTTATCCTAAGCAATGGTATGAAGCGTTAAATGCTGGTTCAACCGCTGTAGAGCTGTGACCTTTGTCATGAGCGACTCGGAGCGGCGATGCTTGTCTTTTATCCGGAGGCGTGCACTCGTAGATTTGTGACGTTCGCGGGTTCTTGTTGGTTCGGCATGTTTCGGCCTTCGGATTTCGGTGTCATGGGTTTCACTTGTTGAAGGCTTCCGGGTTTGGGTCCCCGTTTTGGGGTATGCAGCATAGGGCCGGGACAACTTGGAGCTTCTCCGACTTCAGTGCGCAAGAGATGAGACTCCGGCAGCCAAGATAGGGATCTAGGACGAGGACTCTCCGAATAGGAGGGTAGAATGGAGAAAAGGAAAGTCGCTCAGATACCAGGTAGCAGGGAGCTGGTTTGTATCCATCGAGCCTCATGGCCCCTGATCCTTCATTCGATACTCTCAGAATCAGGTGTTTTTGCATTGCCAGCTTGAGGCCCCCCTCCCTGAAGTCAGCATCCCGATGAAGCCCCCTCCACCACCACTAGGTTTAGAGAAGCTGGTCCGCAAGTTCAGAGAATGGGGGCGCGGATGCCGCATGCACAACTATTCAACGAGAGTGGAAGCCAAACCCTATAGCACGACTTTTCAACAGCAGTGGAAGCCAAACCCCAAGCCATCTAACAAGTTTCAGCCGAGCAATGTTTCTGGTGACCTTCCTTTGGAGCCTGATAGTGCGGAGTCGTCCAAATTCACAGGCCATCCGAAAGAGGAACAACTCCAAACGCACATGACTATCCTTGCGAGACCTTGACCCTTGAAGTGTAGACCCCAAGCCTTAAACCCTAGCACACCTACGCGTTGACCAAAGAACGAGGGTTCCAAAGCATCAGATGGGTGGTTGTCAAAACTGTGGTCCCTTTTTGGGTCCCTATTATAATACGGCACCTATTATTTAGGGTACCCCAAAATTAAAAGGGACCCTAATTTTGACAACTACCCAGATGGACCGCAGAGAGGCAGGCCCGAATTTGGACGGATCCCTCCTGTCCGTTGAAAGTTGTCCTTGGCAGGCAGTCTGCAGTAGGGTACTCGGAAGCCTGTGTACTGAGCACCGGTGATGTAAACCTTTGTGGCGTATATGAATATGGGGAATCCCAAGGGCTTTCTGTGGAGGTTCGATATCGCTGAGGGTCAAGAACCCTCAGCAAGCGGAGAGTGCTTCGAGTGCTGTTCGCGTGCAGGATGGGGTTTATTGGGGCTTGATGTTCAGGGTTCGAGGCTTTTGAAGATGCAGTGTTCTGCAGCAGATGTGACTCCTTAGCTTTGCCATACCTCTCTTCTTCAACAGCTGTTTGCCTCGTTGGCCGGTCGTTCACTCTTATGGCAAGAATTTGCGGATTTTGCATGGCTCTAAGAGAAAAAGAGGTACGAGCAACAAAAGCCATGAAGAGTTGGGCTAGTGTTTGCACCACTTCGATGGCAAACTTTGGATTAAGGACAACTCTCTTTGATCTCCTGGGACAAAGTCAAACGACAATGTCCGGGAACTTCGTGCGGACAGAGGCTGCAAAAAAAGGATCAGAGTGTGAGGCTACAAGGGGATATCGATACCAGTTCTTAGAACTACCTAAATTGTAAACCTAAGTACCATGACCTGCCATGGCTTGCTTGTCAGTAGTTGTCCAACTCTACTAGCCCTGATCCTAACGACCTTTCAAAGCTACAAACAGTAGGCTCTAGTAGATGAAGGTATGGTAGATAATTTCAATGATCCCGTCATATTTGTCATACGGGGCACTTCACAGAGGATGTGGCAGAGCCCGCAGCACCAAGGATTGCCGAGTACGGTGCGCAGGACGAGGACAGTGGTCACGTCCGTAATTGTTGTTCCTGTGTAAGTGCGTTGGAAGGGTGTTTAATGGACTTAACAGGGCTTCTTGCTTCTTAGAATACAACGACCCCTACGCAAGCATCCCTACAATAAGGGACGTAGCATTCGGGGTCTATGGTTGGACCACTTGTTTCTGGAAGCTCCCATTGCCCACTATTCCGATTTAGGGTTGAAGGACCTGGGGCTCCAAGTTAACAAAAGTCAAAAGCAAAATCGGGATATGACCGAGGTAGACCGAGGTTGAAGAAAGAAGCGTCCTGAGAACGGCCCAGGAGAAAGATTGAGCCAGGGGAAGGGCTGTCGAAGCTCAAAACCCGTGCGGCGGGTTTTGCTTGCTCTTTCAATTCCCCTTCTTGGACGAGGGTTCAAAGTCCTCAAAGCACCAACGGGCACTGACCCAAAGGGTCTGCGTACCAATACCAAAACCCGGAGGCCCTAAACCCGAAACGAGTTCGAGACCAGGAAACACCACTGTTGTGCACGTATTTTTCCGGGCAAAGAGCGTACGCCGCGTCTTCGCAGGCGCTCCCGGCACCCTGGGAGCGCCACTTCGATCCAGCAACGGGCTGTGCCCCTCTGCTTGAGTGGAAGCTTCTCTGGGTCTTCATAGCTCCTGCCAATGCGGGGCTTCGAAGTTTGAAGGCCCTTTTGGGGGTGTTTGCGGCCTTTCGGGTTGGGGTCAATGTTGGTCAAAGGGGGCTTCCGGGAGTTTGAGCGCTCTTGGAGGGTTCAGATTTCCGACTCTTTGCCATTCAGTTCTTGCCACTTTGTTTTGGAGGGGCAGGGGCTTGTCTTGTTTCAGGGCCTTAGAACGGCTTTGGGTTCCGGGTCCCGAGGGGTGAGTCTTGAGGCTTGAGCCCAGAGACTTCAGCAGCCGTAAGCCCAAACCCTGATGGAGGCAAGAAAAGCCTTCAACCCCAATGGTTACAGCAGTGCGAGTGTGAGAGTCGAGTGTGAGAGTCGAACGATTACAGCAGCCGAGGCCTATTATGTCGATGCTGACACGCAGGCGCGAGTGGGGGCTCTGTAATCCCTTTGCAGCCGGGGCTTGGGAGCTTAAGCCTGTGCGGCTGGGTTTAGGGTATGGGTTTAGGGTCTGGGAGATAGTATGTTCAGTGGCTGCACGTTGTGCAGAGCACGTGTGTGGCTGACTTCCCAGCTGATGATCAGAGCCTGGCTTCAACGAGGAGGTAGTATGGAAGCATCCTCACTGAAACCATCGCCCTCTGGATTCTAGACTCCGGTTCGCGTGAGAGTTGTCGACTTCGCATTCGCACCACCGCCGGTTTCCAGAATTTGGAGCCACTCCCTCAGCCAACCATAAGATCGTATCGCGTGATTGGTGGGCGGAGATTGAGGACATGGAGGATTTTCGGTCGAAGAGGGCTGTTAGGAGGCTCTTGAGCGAAGCTCCTCAGCAGGCGCTGCGACCCTAAACAAGCCTATATCCGAAATTCCCTGAAACCTGAAAAGCCATACTCCCTGTAAGCCTATGTATATACCCTTGAGCCATTATGAAGCAACCAGACAACCTCCTTGAGGAGTCCACTTGGGATTGCCCTTTGCTTCCGTGTCTACGGCGAGCTCCTCCGCCTGCATCCAGCGGGCCTTCTGGGAATGTGAGGTTTAGGGTTTTAGGGACTTAAAGATGGCTTCATGTATGGAGGGATTGTAGGGGTTTTGGTGGTCTAGGGGCATTTAGTCTTTCTTGAAAAACGTCTGAAAAGTATATTTTTTATAGGTCATGTCACTTGTGCTATATACTGTATGTTCCTTATAAAGGGGTTCAGAGTTTAGCTGGGGCCGACTTGCGGGGCTTTGGAGCCGACCTTAGTTTTTGTCCTTATAGGCTTCCGTATTGTGGTTTAGGGTTTAGGGTTTAGGGTTTAGTTAAAGTATAACATGCACCAAAGACTTGCTCCAATGATTGAGGCCGCTCTTTTGGCGGTACCGGTATTTACAATAAAGGCGCTTCCGTGGGTCGCAGCTCACGCCTGAACAAGGCTTCGGAGCGTGTTTCTTCGTCCGAGCCTGCCGGACATGAATTCCGATGAAATTCGCTCGAGATGTTGTAAACAGTTCCTGTGTTTTCTATAACAGATGTCAGTCAGGGTCGCCTGCATCTATGAGTTGCTCTCGAGACTGAGCTTCCGCGGCCTAGCTCTGAACTTTACGGCCTCCGGCCTCCCCTTACAGTGCCTTACAGGTTCATAAGCAGGACTCCAAGCGGGTAAACGTGTTGTGATATCCTTTCCTAAATCTACTTAATCATCTCTCTGATGCTACAAGCAAGACACCGCAACAGTCCCAGCCCTACGCGAACCCCGGCAAGGTTCTCCAAAGCGGGCGCCGTTACTTGACCAGCCCCTCTGAGGCCCGTGGCTCTGGTTCAGGAGCTAGGCACATCGTCAGCAGATGTAAGTGAAGCCAAGAAGCCACTAAGACCGCAGACATCACAGGCAAAGGCTTTGGGATCAGGGTGGTGAGCCCATTGCTACAAGTATAAGAGCGGCCTTCATCAAAAGAAGGAGGGCCTCTTTTGAGATGCTTACAGGCTTTTTTGGGGCGTTTGTGGGAGTCGGGGCACTTGTGTTTCTCGGATTTGGAACACACCAAGACCCGCTGGGAACTGCCACCATGGAGCTGTCTCTCTGTGAGTCCTAAGTCCAACCATCGTGTAGTCAGGATCCTGCTGCTTTTGTTGACTTAGACTTGCAGCCAGAGGTTCGCAAAGGCGCTTCATGATGAAATGCAGCTTGAATCATCATGAACAAGCTGTAAAAATAGGATCAACCGATTGCTCCCTGGGATTCCTGCATCTAAGGATGAGCCCTGCGAACCTGAGGCCCTACCCACGCACCTTGCAACCCTTTTTACCCCAAGACCTGAAGCCGCCCAACCCTCAAAACACGGTCATAGTAACCCCGAATGAGAGAAAGTTAAGCTAAGCTGCTGTCGAGATATCTTTGTGTTCGGAGCTTCTGGCAGCCCTTAGGGCCCTCCAAAACCCTCGAGCCAAGAAGGCCCTAAACCCAGGCCACTGAAAGGACCGTAAAGAGCCGGCTCCGCAAACTGCACAAAAAAACAAAGAGCCCTCTGCCAGGGCTTCTTTGAGGAGCAGAAACTGCAACTCTGGGAACGGCTCAAGGCGGGGCACCACACCTCCCAAGCTTGCGCTTGTTTTAAGCCTTGTTTGCGGCCTTCCGATTCTTTCCTCTAGGCCTGGGCCTTGTTTTTTGTAATGCATTTGTAAGGGTCTATAGGAGTTGACATGTTTTGGGCGTTTTGCGGGACTCCTCCAGGGAAGTTCACCGCCCGACATCCGATGCTGGAAGACCTCATAGATTGACCTACATGATCTACATGGCCACGTTCTGGGAGAGCCCTCCTTACAGGTTCACGCGCAGTTCTACGTTTGTGCTCTTGGGGTTTAAGGCTGTAGGCAACTAATCCGTGCTCCGTATTAGTAGGGGCCCCCCCTGAATTTAAGACGGACTCTTGTTAATTTGGGGGGGTCGGGTCGGTTGGGTTCTACGGATCGCAGCTTTTCGTGCCCGGGCCGGAACCAGAATTCTGCAACTCGCCTGGACGACTGCAGCTCGAGGGCCAAAGGAAAGCCAAGACAAGGAAGGCTTCAGGAAAGGAAGCTCTCGCCACAGGCCCTGGCTTCGGCCTATAAATGACAGATCGGATGTGAGAAGATATGCCAGACAGAATGTCTGAAAGAATGCCAGAAGCAATGCCAGATTGCATGCCGGAAGATATGCCAGATAGAAACGCGGAAGATATGCCAGATAAACTATCGATATGCCAGACAGGATGTGAGAAGATAAACCAGACAGAATGCCTAAAAGAATGCCAGAAGCAATGCCAGATTGAATGCCGGAAGATATGCCAGATAGAATAACAGAAGATATGCCAGATAGAATTTCAGATTCAATGTCCGGTCTGGTTTTACAGTATCATATTTCTCGCATGCACAACAAATGTCATAGTGGGGATCGCTCGAAGTCAGGTAAGTCGTTGTGCTATTTAGTTTTTGACACAGCTCGCTGCATGCACACAAGGCTGCCTGAGAAGAATTGCGAACTGTTGTTTTCCGCCCTGTTGTACGCAGAGCCTCACAGCATGGAGGCAGTGGCTCAGTGTCAGGCGCGAAGGCATTTCAGAGCCGCACCCTGATGAATGGTTTCGAAGAAGCTTCTTCTCTTCTCTTGGGCTCTGGCTTCAGCTACGCAATTGGAGTGGTGTCAAACCCTGTGGCTCTCCATTGTCTCAACGATGCCCTCAACAACCGCATCATTCAGTTGTGTACCGAGACGTTTGGAAACCACATGCCGCAGACAGCAGCTGAAGCCAACAGAGGGCGAGTTCTGCGTAGCCGCAAAATCCCCCACCTACTCCACATGTTGTGGCCGTAAGCTCTTTAGGCCTTGGTAGCTTTGTTTAGGATCATGGGGGAGCAGCTAACGTTTCGCCATGTCCCAGCAAGTACAGTTCTGAGGCTCCAAACCTGTTTCAACCATGTCGGCGCCTAGAACCGGGTTTAGGGTTTAGGGTGTCTGTTTCAGCTTCGGGTCCTTGGTGAAGCCAAAGTGTTTCAGGGTTAACGCTTCCCAAACCCCCTAAACCCAACACCCTGAACCCTGAAGCGAGCATGCAGCATCACTCTTGAAGATCATTGGAACTGTCCTTTAGAACAGGAGGGTGCTTTCAAAAGGATCCTGTCTGTTTTGACCTGACCACCACCGAACCCTCAAAGCAGCCATATCTTACCCTTTCCTCAACCGCAGCAACAAAACCGTCAAACCCCGCAAGTAAAGCCGATACGGCCCACGTCAGAAGTGAGCCCCGCGCTGCGAAGGCTGAACTGGACTGTTGGTATGGGCCTCTTGACAGTCGGCAGCCCAGCTCAGGGCTAAAGGTTTCACTGTAAGCGTTTACTACACAGAAACTGCTCAACGGGTCATTGCAAATTGCTACTCTACTATCAGGGCTACAACTGGGCTTCTGTTGCTCTGGGCGTGGGGCTGCTCTCCGTCTTACCTTTCGTGCTGCGCCGAAGCCTTTCGTGCGCCCTTTGTCTGTGAGGTCTGGGATCGGGTCTTCGCGGCGTTGGTTGTTTTGTCGAGGGGCCTCGTTGGATTGGTTGGGTTCTTGTGGCCTTGATGTGGGCGCCTTCATGATTAGAACAACGCGTCTGGCAAGTATTCCGTAGGTGCAGCCCCAGGCGTTATCAGCGATCACGCTTGTTCCTTCAGAGGCCAGCAGGCCCCACAGCCCGACCCAAAAAACTTTCCCAAACTCGTCCAATTTCTCCGTCCAGCCCCTCATCCCAGAAGCCCTAATTAAGCCTTAAGCCCCCCACATCAAGATGAGAAGAAGCAATTACAGTAATTCATCACTAGATAAAAGGAAACAGAGCTGCTTTTTTGGCCAAGGTCCCGACGGCCGGCCCTACTTCGCGCACTCTCAGGGACACTCTTCCTGGCGGGATCCACGTGTCGGAGCCCCTTTTTGGCGGGGTGGGAAGAATTTGGGAGTTTCCGGAAATTAGGGGTACCTTAGTTTGGGGGTCCTTATAATAAGGATCCTACTATTTAGGGTACTATAGTAGGGTCCCCCATTTTAGGAAACCCCCAGTTACTCTCAGGGTTTGCCTGGCATTAAACCCTCCGCCCCCAGACCTTGGTCAGGTCTTCGGGTAGGGACGTTCCCAAGTCTGGGCAGAGGTCAGTGAGACGGTGGTGTTTCGGGCTCGCCAGGCACCATGTGGGAGCTTCCGAAAATAGGGGGGTACCTTATTTTGGGGTCCTTATAATAGGGATTCTACTATTTATGGTACTGTATCACGGTCCCCTATTTTCGGAAACCTCCATGTCTCCGAGCGTTTGTTTGAACAATCACGGAGCTCCCCCACTTAATCGAGGTCGATACACAGTTCCTGTTCGACCTCGAGGGCGGGCGCCTGGTCAGCAATGGAGTCCGGATCATGCAGAGGTCAATCGGGTTTTCCAGAAAAATGCTTCGGAGATCCTAGGAGTCCGAGTCCGGAAGTACAGAGGGCTTCGAAGCCGGTTGTCGATCTGATGTGCTCCCGACATCGCACCAGCAGTTGAAGGGTCAGGAGACTTGTTAAACCGCTTGCCACCCCCCAAATCCTTCAAATAACTTTGAACGAAAAACCCACAAGCCTAGCCCCGTGTACGGCCCGTATGGGCTGATAAGACCGCCGTGGACGACCGAAAGTTTCGACTGGCAGCCCTAAACCCTAAACCCTAAACCCTAAACCCTAAAAAGTTTGGACTTTTAGGCTCCTGGACTCCTTGGCAGAAATGCTGCCCCCACCGGAGGAGCTCCAGGTGACCTGCCCGGGCTTTCGGATTCAGGGCTTTAGGGGCTAAGGGATACTGGATTTGAAAGAACAGGGGCTATAGAAGGCAGGAATCCCTCCTCATGGGGCTTGGGCAATGACAAGGCCAACAGACGTACAAGTCGACATTTATGCTAGCTAGGCCCTACTTCAAATACCGACTTAGTGGCCAGGAAAGTATTTCCTAAAGTCTGCGGAACCTAAACCACCACGGCGAAACGGTTCACGTCTTGTTGCAGTCTCTGGTGAGTGGGGTGTGTGGCTGATCTGTTTAGTTTAGGTGTTTGGTGTTCAGGATGTAGCTCTAGCGCAGTTCTGCCAAATCCGCTAGCTGCCTTCATCTCAGATGTATTCTATGTCGTTGTATGTACCCGTTGCGGTGATGGTGGCGATGGTGATGGTGTATCACCATCAATGTTGTTGCAGCTTTTAGAATGCAGAAGGGGGGGCTTTCAGCTGAAGTAGACCTGAGGGATGATGGGGCTTTGCTTGCTGGTAGCAGGAAGAGTAACATATGGGGTCGAGGAGGGCAGGCACTCTCCACTGGCGCCGTAGTGCCTGAATGCTTTTTGCCAATATAGGGGCCTTAATACTTACCTATGATATGTTTTTTTTTGGGGGGGGGGAGGGGGGGGTCCTTGTTATAATTTTTTTGCATAATGCCCCAAAACCTTATTCCAATTATTAAGGCCCCTATATTATTTCAACGGCGTTGTCTCTTGTTCTGTCCGAGGCTTCAGGCTTTTCAAGCGCTTCAGCTGCGCAGGCTCAAAGAGAGCCCTGACACACGTCAGGGCAAAGCTGGCGATACTCAGTTTCGGGCAGAACCCTCGAGCCTAGAAAGTAGGATCCTTAGTTACGAGGACTTGAATAAGGCAACATTTGAGGGCCCCCGTTTTCTTTTCCATACACACCCTGAAGCATTTAGGGGCAACCCGGGCTTTAGACCCGAGACGCCTGGGCCTAAGCCCGAACCCATCAAGCCCTTTAACCCTACAGAATCTTTGACGGCAAGACCCTGAAGCCCATAAACCCAAGCGCACATGGAATTCCCATTTGGTCTGTAAAGCTAAGCAATCAAAGCCTGTGACCCTTGTAGGCCCTAAATGCTAATTGTAACATGCCTCCGGAATGACCTGATGCAATGGCCTTCCAGTGCTGCACATGCTCCAGTGAGCAGCGCGAGAGGCCAGAGATCGTCAGGCGCGGTCGGGAGTTTCGCATCGGGGTTGGGGATTTCGGGATTGGGGGGCGCTTGGGGTTAGGGTTTGGTGTTAAGGGGACAAGCTGCAGCCCCCTTTAAGCCATCCTGCCGGAAGGCTCATGGTTAGCAAGGCATGGCTTTCGGGTCAATGGTCTCCTTACTTACCGAGTCTTCGCGTGCTTTACCAAAACATCGGAAAGCCCCGGTTTAGGGTTTAGGGTTTAGGGTTTAGGGTAACGAAGCCGACTCCCAGAGCCCTCGAAACGGAGCCCTTGGCGGAGGTCCTCCGGAGCCCAGGGGCCCCGTCAGAGCGTGACTTCCAACGGCTCCTCCCCGGGACGGACGTCGACGCACTTAGATCCGAAGCCCGCCGGGCCCGGGAACTCAGATTTGAAGCAAAAAAACGTAATAGTAATGAGAAAGTCTTAGTTTAATACTCGTATTAAGATTGTAAAGGATCGAATTATGGATTTTCGGAAATTGGATATGTGTTTTGGTAGTTGCTGGGCGTACGCTCATTCAATGCTCAGTTTCACTGCTCATTGAAGCCGTGCTAGGTTCACAAAGCCTAAAAGTGTTGAACCCTATGCTCTCAAGCCCTAGTAACCTAAACTTTGAATCCGGGAACCCTGAAACTTGAAATCCGAAACCCCCTTCCTCCTTTGCGCCTCTGCGGCAGAGTCTGCGGCCGTTTGGAGTGAACCCTAAGCCTTGAAGCCGGAGCCGACGAGCAGCTATCAGCAGCCATAACGTGATTACGCGCACCTGAATGCAAGTGGTGACCCATGTAGTCATTTATCCCGATTACGATCCTAACTCTCATGAAGAGCCATCTAGTAGAAGCCACCCGTAAAGAAACCTTATGGATCTCTCATGCATCCCTTAAACGCTTACGAAGCCCGCATAAAAACAAAACCCTCTCAATTCGAAAAGCCTTGAAAGAAGACCCCTCAAAAAATTCTAATCGCTGAACGTTAAACCCCGATACACCCTTCCAAAAACCCTAAAACCCTGAAAGTCACATGTGCTATTGCCCCCTTCCCTTGGTAAGTCTTTGGCTGAACCAGTATCGCTACAGACCTTGCCTGGCTTGTCCGAGTGTGAGTGTCAAAAAAACCCTAAAAACCCTTGCAAAAACCCTAAACCCTAAAACCCTAAAAACCCATCCAAAAACCCTAAACCCTAAAACCCTAAGAACCCTCCCAAAAACCTCTTGGTGGGAGGCGCAACATCGGCCTCGGGGCTGGCAGCGCCTTTGCCCGAACCGCCGCTGGGACGCCTGTGGCCCTTTTGGGGTGAGTTCTCCAAACTCAGGGTCTTTTTGAAGGGTTTAGGGATCGTTCTCAAGGTCATGTTTTAGAGTTTAGGCTTCAGGGTTAGTTCTCGAAATTCAAGGTGCATCTCTAAAGGTATTTATATGGTTTCTATAAGGGCACCCTATGAGGTTTGCAAAGAACCTCCCTCTCGTTCTTAGGACCTTAGGAGGGAACGAGGACTGGGATGTCATGGGGACTTCTGCAAGGGACCTTATATGGGACAATCAGCGAGTCAGAGGGAGGATAGAACAAAAGTAAAACTAGACAAGAGTCCTTAAAAGGTACCCTAGGGTTTTGGCTTGCATTGAGGGCTTCTTCGGGCTTCAAGGGACCGGGCTAGAATCAAGGTGGGCGGCGGAGTTCTTGATATTCACGCTATTCCTTAATAGGGTTCCTTGTTCTACTCTAGTATTATGTTGCCCAGAACCCGTTCGAAAAATGACGGCCCCTACGATATCTACATTCCTTTCTTTTTGTCTCCTTTTGGAGGCCCTCCAGGCTTGGGGTTTGGCTTCAAGGCTTTCGGGCCTCAGCTTGGTTGGGTTTGGGATATTTCGGGTCTCGGGTTGGGGCTTTAGGGTTTGAGGGTGTGGTTTTTTGATGGGTTTAGTTTAGCCAATGACTGTGTTTCCTTCAGGGCTTTAAGACTTATGTGCTGCCGGGTGGCTTCGGTGCTTAGGGCTGTTGTGGTTTTAGTGGTGTGGTTTGGTGTGCTCAGCGTTTGCGTGTTTGCTTTCAGGTTTTGTAGACTTGATCTCGAGGTCTAGTGGGCTTGAGGTGTTAGGTCTTTCCCAGTCTCAAGGCTTTTGGGCTCTAGGGTCCGTGCGGCAGTGAAGGCTTGTGTTGAGCTGGCTTTTGGGCAACATTCCTGAGCACCAAAGCCCTAAACCCTAAACCCCTAAACTTGTCCTTGCTAAGTAGGAGGCAAAAAACCCCTAAACCCCTAAACCCTAAACCCTAAACACTAAACCCTAAACCCTAAACCCCTAAACCCTAAACCCTAAACCCTTAACTAGGCCCCAAATTCCAAACCGACCCACCGCTCCCTTGACAAAGTTGTTACCTGGCAAAGCAGACTGCTTTTGGTCGGGCCGTTTCAGGGTGGAGGCTGTTTGAGTGATCTAGTAGTTCAGATGTACCTGTGACACTCTTACTGCAGAACACTGGAGCCCAAATCCCTGAATCCAAAGCGAGGAAATACTTCGAACTGGCCTGTTTCTCAAGAGTTTCACTGGCAGGGTTGCGGGTTTGGGTTCACAAGCCCGTTTGGCAGGGTGTTTTCGGAGTGCATTATTTCATGTAGTATAATCTGCCAGAGGTGTCGCAGGAGTCATCGAATTCAGCGGAGCCGAGTGTTGCGCAGGCTGGGAAGTGTCCATAAATCCACGAAATTCTTGAAACCGTAAACCCCAAAAAAACTTAAACTTGGTACGCCTCATGTGTGGCGTCCTGAAACAACAACTCCGCTTGAAGCACAGGCTTAACTTCCAACCGTGGCACCAATGTCCGAGAGTGAGCACCGGACCGGTAAACCGTGAACTATAGGAGGCGCATCTCTGCATTAGCCCAAATGTACCAGAAAACGTTCCAGAATCTGCCGCCAATGCATGGACATTGAAGTTCAATCAAGTAGGTTGACGAACGACCTACTGAACTCGAAACCCTACACCCGAACTCCTAAACCCTAAACCCTAAACCCCTACACCCGGGAAAAAAAAAAAAAACTACACCCGAAGACCCCGAAGCTCCATCAACAACACCCGACTGAACCCAACCCAGCAGTCCCCTCTAAAGTCATGGGCAAGTCTACATCCAGGCACCTTCCACCTTACAAATCCTCCCAGATCCTAGGAAAAATTCAGGAAGCCCTATTCTTCAAAAGCCATCCTAGAAAGCATTCATAAGATCCCTTGCTCACTAAAGCTTTAGAATGCCTTCAACCCTAAAGCCTGAACCCTAATAAACCCTAAGCCCCTCATTCTTGATAGCCCTCAGACTTCTTCATAATCATAATATATTGATGTTTCTAAAGACCCCCTACTCTCTCAAGCCCACAGGATGGCGGCACCGGAGGCACCGCGCAGCCGAGTGAGGCCATGGATTCGAACTTCGGCAGCTCCGGATCCCTCGGGCGTGGGCCCCGGGTTGCGTGGGAGTTGCGGCTTTTTAGAGGGGGTTTTTAGAAGGGGGGTTTAGGGGTGAGTTTGGGGTATAGTAGGAGGGGTTGGGGGGTTGGGGCTTTAGGGTTTGGTGGTTTGAGGGCTCAGGGTTTTTGGTTTAAGGAGTTCAGTTAGAGCTTTAGAAAGGTCTATAGGCTTCTGGAAAGGTTTTATATGTGTGCTACACGAACTGGCTACCCGGGTTTATAAGGTTCTCTAGATATTTCAGACATTTTCTATGGTTCAGGGATGCTAAACGCAGACTTACAAGTCAAACGAGCCTCCCAGCACCCCCAATTATGTACGAGACATGCGGAGGGCCACGTACACACACGCACGCACGGACATGCATGCATACATACAGAAGATTGCAGACACCTTGTTCATAGACATCTATATTTCCGTGCCTGTTCGACAGAGATGCAGTGCACCAGACTCTTAGGTTGGCAGGAGTGAAAGGAGGGAGAAGTTGGGATTGAGAAGAGGTTGAAGATAAAACCTAGTACCCATCATTGTACCCTGAAGAGTACCAAAATTATAAGTTACATGACAGCAGCTGTGCAGGTTTAACAGGGTTTCGATTTAGGGTGTCCACGCTTTGGGGTCTGGGAGTTCGCATTCATGGAGCTACTGGCTTAGGCTCTTCGGACGACTTGGGTTTGCCAGAGACGATGAGTTCGTTGCTAGCTCTGGTATGCATTCTCTTCCTGAGATCACGAGTCCTTCAAAGTGCAGCCGTCGTTTCAGAAATTTCGGGCTTCCGAGAGCAGCAACAAATCAAAGCAACAGCAGTCGTAAGAAGTCTGTCCAGAGCGATCCACAATCCTTGCATTCCACACAAGTTGCAAACTACGCCGAGGCCTCTACAAGGCTCTCAAGCCCCCATAATGCGCTTCTTTCCATGGCCTGGCAGAGAGTACATGTACCACATACTGGGGTGCCCACGTCAAGGAAGTAGGCTGTAGAATCTAGAATCTCAGTATGCAAAGGCCAGAAATTGCAAGAAGCACCCCAAAGTCCCGAACCTTAAAGAAACCCCGCCATGGCAGGGAAGGCTCCGACATCCCAAGCGCGAGCAGCAAGACCAGCAACCCGTAGCCCGGAGAGAAACAGATCGAAGGCTTATTCTAACTTCAGGGGCTTTAGGGCTTCAGGAGGCTTCAGGATTTTTGAGGTTTATGGTTTAGGGATTAGGTTGAGGGGCGCGGACCTCGAGCTGAGGCATTCCGGAGGTTTCGCCGGGCTTTCGCAGGGTTTGGGATCCTTGGGAGATACTCTGTAGTCCTGGAACGACTCACTCTTAACTCTTCGAGTTGCTGGATTTCGCTTCTACGCTGCAGGTCCATGGGAGGAAGGAGGTCTATGGAGAGCCTATCAAGATCATGTAGAACAGTTTGCCTATCATTTAGCCTCCTTGCCTTGAAGGTCGGTCTTGGGATTCAGGGGATGGGGATACCTGCCTTCCGGATGTGGTTTAGGCGTCTCAACAGGCGAGACTATCTTTTCAACGCTTTCACAGCTTGTGCCTGGCCGCTCCCTCCAGAAAGCCCTGAACGGTGTACTTGAGAGACTGTGACAGAGGTGTTTTCGTGATGTATAACCGCAATATTTCCAACCATATTTTTCACTAACGCCGCCACACCCGACATCGTGAACCTTGCATCGAAACAACACATCCTGCAATCCAATTCGCTTCCTGCGCCTGAACCGTGAACAATGTAAAGACAGACAAGCTAGTCGACATGGCATTTCCGCAACTCTGTCGTTCCTGCCATCATCACGGCATCATCTCTTGAATTCAGCATCAACAGTGCCTTCGTTAGCTTTTTGGTACCGCTGCCATCATCGGTATTGAACATCCCTCTCGCCGTCAGCCTGGAAAAGAGCACCACCACCCCAGCATCAGCGGCACCAGCATCATCTCCACTACTACCATCAGGATCACGACCCTCTTCTTCATTTATCGGCCGACAACCTGATCTTCATGTTCATCACAACAGCAGCACGAGCATCCCTATGAGCATCACGCTCAACATCTTCTTCATGCAGGATCACAAGCAGCAGCGTCGGTAGAACGTTGGCAGTCGCAATATCTCTCATAGCACGTCTTCCCTCCGTCCCCCTCAGGCAAGACGGTGTGAATCAGCTGATGCCTTTCAAGCGCCAGCTGCTCTGCGCAGCGTTCATTGGGGCACTTGGGTACTTTCTTTGAGTTGGGAGAGCATAAGTTTTAAAGGTCTCACGACTTTGGTTAAAGCAAATCGGCGGCAGTTCGAGGCTTGGGACATCCAGTGGAAAGCTTCTAGGCATCAGGTGAAGGCGAGGCCGCTGCAGAGGCTTCCGGTGGTGGGGTTTGTGGTCGAAGACACCCAGAGCACTCACGGCTTCAAGTCTTCGGTGTCTCAGCATGGGACAATATAGAAAGGATTTTTCCTTCCGGTGCACATTCCCTCGAAGCGTCAGGAATATGATGTTAGGGAAGGAGTTTGAGGACTGCTGTATCCCGAATCCGCGCCCGCGGCGGTAGAGCAAGCACACCACGAGGCATGCATCCCAAAGCAACTGCAACTCGAGGAAGACCCGCGACAACGGCACCTGGGGCCTGCAGCGCCGGAAAACGCAGGCCTTCTTTTACTCCGGGGCTAACTTCCACAAAGACTTTAGAGTTGAAGCTACCAGGGGTCCTTTACCCAGTGAAGATCTACAGTTCCGTGGGGGGTCGACTAAAGCATGATCAAGTCCGGCACCTGCACGCGGGCTTGGAGTACATGAGTTCGATTTTGCCCTTCGCAGTAGAGCCCACAAACTTAGCAGCGGGTATGTGTGCATATATGTGCTACATTTGAGACGTATATTCTAGGCGATGATACAATGGAGTTTGGGCGTAGGTTGGGCTTCATGCCCCGGGAACCCAGCAGTCTTTCACCAAGCATTGATCCAACAGTTCACAAACCTCACGAAAATGCACCCACCACCCTTACGTTTTGTCGGTGCTGGGGGAGTATGTACAGTAATGTGGGATTTGCACATGTGCTCAGGCAATGGAGGACTACCTGAACCGGTCCCAGTCCTTGGAGGAGGAGCTCTGGGGGAAGCCTGAGGGTTCCTTCGGGGTGGAGCCGTGAGCTTGTGGGGTTTGAGGCTTTAGGGTTTAGGGTTTAGGGTTTAGGGTTTAGGGAGGCTTGAGCCTGAGGGTGACGATGTCCAACAAAATTGTAAAGACGATAGACAGCACACCCTGCGCTTGCAAAAGAATGACTCGCGTTCTTTGAGGAGTCAAGGGGCGCAAAATTCGAGCCCGATACTCTGATATGAGAAGCCACATCAAGGACAGCAGCAAGACTATGGCATCAAAAGCAACAGATGTCAACAGATGTCGACAAGCTCAACCAGACAGTGCAATCGCAGTACTCAAGCACCCGCGAAAGGTTCGGGCCTTGAGTCTGGGATTCTCTACTCCCGGCACTTCCTGGACTGAGCACAAACACAAGAAACGGTGTTCAACCGGGCGGCTGTCGATCAGAAAACTTTCCAACACCCAATGCACGGGGCTCGCGCAATATTCAGGCCGTACATCTCTTCTGTCATTCACGTCGCAGATGCGTGTCGGAGGATCGCTTGTGGTTTCGGCCAAACCGGCTTGACAAGTTGCAATCATCACCATCATCATGTTCATAGGATTTTGCCAAGACCTGCGTTGCGGGCTCAACTTGTGCTTGGGTTGCCACCTCCTTCTTTTCCTTTGCATTGATGAATGTTTTAAACCAGTCTAGCCCCCGAGACCCGAAGTTCAGCGCGAAACCACTTTAAGCCCAGAGGCCATGCTTTGAGCCTTGACCCCGCGAGCTGCTGGCAGGTGCCCGCAGACAACGCCAAGGGCCCGAAACCGGTCACGCCGGACAACATCGCGGTGCTCCTTTCCTTCAAAACCCAAAGATTCCACAGTTGTCGGATTTGGCGTCCATCAACTATCAATCCACCCTGGGTACACGCCGTGGTCGTAAGTATGGTGATAGCAGTCGTGGTTGTAGTAGCAACCATTGCAGCCGCAGCGGTAGCAGTAGTCGTAGTCGTGGTCGTCATCGTTTTAGTTTAGTTTAGTTTAGTTGAGTTGAGTTTAGTTCAGTTCAGTTCAGTTCA